CAGCTAGTTGCAAATGAAGACTGTAGTATCAGTTATATGAGTGCATCCCTTATTTTTGAAATTTATATGAAGGAGCAGACTGATGGAAGCAAGAGTGCTCTAGCCAGCAAAGGGAATGGTGACCTTATGACAGATGAAAATTTACTACTGATTAAAAAAATGCTATTGAATGACAAAAATAGCAAAAAAGACATCATTAATTTTTTGAAGGGTTTTACCAGCCAGGATAATTCTGTTTCCCCTCGTAATGTTGCACTTGTCTATAACTCTGGTGAGTGTCAAAATAAATGCCTAATTGTGCTCATCACAACAATTATATAGGATTGTTTCATATTGTTCTTGAATATGCTTTGAAGCACATTGTTTATTCCAGAATTGATGAAGAAGTTGTAGATTTACTTTGCTGTTGTTTTAAACTGTTACGAGGAATTGCTGCATCAAATAAAGAGGTGAGATTTTTACTCAAATTATCAGATCATGCTTAATTTACTTTAGATCCGAAATGAAATGTTCCTTTATTTTTCTAATTTTCTTCAATTTAAACAAGTCACAAATGATATGATATGCCTGATTAATGAGGTTAGTGTATTAGTGTCTGCAAGGAGTGGTTTATTTTTCTAATTTGTCAGATTTTTTATGGCAATACTTATGTTTGCAATAAACTGACAAAATATGATCTTGGGAAGGTATTATATGCTGCCATTATTGGCCCATTTGACCATTATCAGTGGACTATTGTGCTTCAAACTATAATTGAAGTAAATCAACTTACATTCAATTACTTTAATTTATGCTTATAAAGCAGAACTCAGATCAAGTAGAAGCACAGGAACATATTGCACAGCTGATTTCAAAGCATTCTAATGACTATTTACAACATGTTCTGTGCCCGAGAGAGCAAAGCAAGGCTACTTATTGGCTAAAAATTCTTCAATGTGTAAGTATTTTTGATTGTAGGTCTATACTATAGTGCATCAATTTAGGACAAAACTGATAGGCAAAAGAATGAATGTCACCTTCTTCTCAATATAACTGATCTCTTGGCATCATGTGCAAGTGGAGAATGTCAATATGCCAGATTAGTTGCTATGAAGTTATTTACTTTTAATGAGCTCATAAAGTAAGCAGATTAAATGTTTGTAGCTACTAATTTTTATTTGTGGTAGAATTTTGTCAAATCCAAGTATACTAAGTCATAGAAAAATACCATATCTTTGTATTTTGACTTGGACTTACTTGAATAAGAAAATATTTACTTCATCGTCAGCACAATATAAGTATATTATGTAACTATCAGACTGTTGTTTAAGGATTTTAAATTTTTAGGAGCCTTTGGTCACATATAGTATCTACAATAAAAAATTTTGACAAAGGAAGGGAAGTGACTTCCCAGGATGCCGACAGATCAAATTGCATTATGTATCTGCAAAATATAAACAAAAGAATGACAAAAGTCATGGGGTTATTTTATATCACTTATGGTGTAATACCTTTTCTGTCACAATTTGTTTTATCAGAACATTTTGAAGTTGAGCTTTATGGTATTAAAAACACTTTATTAGTAAGCAGAACATTTTATGCTACATAATATATTATTGTATTTAATTTATTGCATTTCTTCTATTTTAATTTGCACCATTTTTACAACATATGTTGAGAAACCTATTGTTTTAGAAATTTAGGGATAAATGGAAGTGTGTATCAAAGCAACTGTCAAAGTTCAAATGCATAGAAAAGATTGACTTATTATTAAAAAAGAGGAACCCAAATGTGAGGATATTTAAGTCATTATTGTGTATTTAAAACTAAATGTAGCTAATGATTAATCCACCATGTCCATCTCCTGCTGATGAAGCACAAAATGGGGAACCTTTGCAGCTAATTGAGCCAAATTATGAAGAGTTAATGAAACATTCAATGTGAGTATAATATTCTTATAACTGAATTACTTACAATTCTTTGATCCATAGATTTACTTTACATAATATTGTTTCCCTGTTAAAGTAAGCATTAAGTTCATTGTAATGTAAGAGGTCTATTTATACAGGAGTTTAATCAACCAGCAAAAAATAGACCCCCTTCCTTGTTTAAAAAGACTTGATTTAGAGCAAACAATATTGAGAACATTAAAAACACTGATTGAACAAATGAAGCAAAGTACAAAAGAAAAGCAACATTTTGATACTTCACAAACTAAGTAAACTGATCAAATACTCCAGTAATTATGATGTGTAGAGTTGTTAGGATCATATTATTCTTTGGTACAGATGATGTTACTACTAGTACTGGTAACTACAAAGCAAATGTGAGCCCCATAGCACTATAATTAATTAAAAATAACTTTTTATAGCTATTTGATCTCCTAGCAGAAGATCAAAATATTGAAATTGTTATTGCAGTGATGAAAGTGCTGCAATGTCTAAATTCTGATCAAAATTCTGTAATTAAAGATGAAAAAGAAGCAAAAAATATTCAGACAAAGATTGTTGATTGTTGTAAAGAACATGATTATACTCTAATAGAGAAAATACATCAACTGTTAGGAGAAGCACATTTTGTCATTAATAAAGCAAAGTAACTTAGTGTTATAATAAATAGTTGTTTTATTATTTTATTGTAGGAGAAACAGGCAAAACAGCACAACTGATCCATTACAAGTTGGTAAAACTATGATATTTTACTTTGTGGCTGTTATTCTAGGACATTGTGGATATTATTACTGCTGCATTAGATGTTATTTGTTTGCTGTGTGATAGACAGCAGAAGGAAATGCAAGATGCAATGAGAAATAAGGTAAAACTTCATTACTATTAGATATAACTGATATATTTTTGGTATTTATAGGGTTTTATTGTTAGTCAAGTTTCTTTCATATTTTACTATATTTCTAAACACTGCAATAATACTGAAGTTTATTGGGATGATATGGCACAAAAAACTGTTTGGGCATTGATAAAAATGTGTACTGGAAATTATGATAATCAAGATATAGCTTTTAAAGGTGAAGTTGTTGTATCTATCAATGGCATATTGAAAATGAAACTAGTAAGAATACTAATTGTAAGAATAATAATAATGAATATTAAACAATAGGCAAAAACAAGTTTGAAGTCCTCATGTCTTAAGTTGCTAGAAGTAATGCTGGAGGAAATAGATGAAAATTCATGGGATTTAGCCAATCGTATAACTAGTCAATTGGATATAACTGGGTTGCATAAAGAAATGCTAAATTTGTGGAAGTTAAGTTTTGGTCCATGCAAATCAATACAAAGCAAATCAGAGGACACTTTATTGCTTAGATCATATCACATTTTGATGCAAATTGCAGATTATAAAGAAACAACTATTAATGAATTAGGTATGGTCTAATATGCACAAATTGTTACCTACATTTATCATGTATTATAAATCTTGCAGTTGACATTGTTAAAGAAATGTGGGATTACTGTCAGCTTAGGACTAAAAGTGTTGAAATTGTTTATAAATTAAGTGAAGAAAAAGAGACAATATCTCGGATATATTTTCCTGCAAATTTCCATGTAAGCTCACTATTATCACATAATTTTTTTAACTATACATTATATAACAGATTAAAGGAAAGAATGGTATTCAGTCCAAAATCAAAAGAAGCACTTCTGAAGAAAAGCTATTTGATCTTATTGAATGGGCAAATGCTGTGAAAAGAACTCACAAACAGAAAGTATAGACTAAATGATGCATGTTTGATTATACTACTTTGCAGCATAATCTGATAAATAACAAGGATTTATGCAGTCTTACATTGTTGCATTCAAGGTATGCTTAGGTAACAATATAAAACGAGTTCTTGTGTTGTTTTATTTAGCAAATGGCTATTAATAATCTTAACAATTTTATTAAATTTGTTTGTTCTCTTTACAGTAAATACTCCACCAGAGTAAGGCAATATTATCATTAATTTTAATTAATTATTTCTAATATAACAGTTACAATATGCCTAATGGAGTCTGTACAGTCAATGAAACATACAATGAAACATGTAACAACAGTACCAGTAGCAGTCCAATGTACTTCCAGCCCATCTGGTATCCTGATATACCAATGTGGTCTACAGCAACCTTGACCATTCTTGGCTTTATACATTTCATACTGGCAGTAATTATGTTGATGCAATACTTTTATAAGAATTGCAAAAATTTGAGAGAGTTTTTTAGTACAAAACTATTGTAAGTATTTAATTGATATATACATTTCGTACTGGTGATAATTATGTTGATTTAATACTTTTATAGGAATTGCAAAAATTTGAGAGAGTTTTCTAGTACAATGATTAAATACTTTTATAAGAGTTGCAAAAATTTGAGAGAGTTTATTAGTACAAAACTATTGTAAGTATTTAATTTATATTTTTGTTAATAATTAAATTTTTAGATATAGTTTCTTGAAGATAATCTTAGGCAAATACTTAAGTCATCAAATCTACTTACGCTTTTCCAAATATATAAAAAAGCCTGTAGTTAATGACAAGCACACTCTTGCTAATGAATATTATCAAAGATCTTGGATTAGTTTTCAGACAATGTATCGTATCTTCTTCACAATCTGTTCATCAGTGGCATGGATTCCTGTTCCAGGGCTAAGATACCTTTACTGTTTGTGCATGCTCTATCCATTTTTACAGTTAGAGGTCATGTCTTTTATTTCAAGGGCTGTTAAAAAAAGCAGTAAGTTCTTTATTATTTATTAATATGGTTTTAAAAATTCTTTCTGTACAGTCAAACAGTTGGCCTCAGTCTTCTTGCTGTGCTTTATTTTTATTTATATTTATGCTGTCATCAGTTTTGCTTTCTTGAATAATTACTTCTCAGAAGAGAGAGATCAGTTCTGTGGTAGTTTGTGGCAATGTTTCATTACTGTATTGCATTTGGGACTACTGAGCACCTTAGGAGCTGTATGTTATGTTACTCTGATTGAACTATTAATTACTTTAACTATAGGAACTTGATATTCGTCCTAGTGACTACCCCCCTGACTTTAAACTATATGTTTTTCGTACATCCTATGATCTTATATTTTTTATCATTGTCACAACACTTGGCCTTAGCATCATCACTGCTACACTTGTGGATAGATTTTCTGAAATGAGACAAAAACAGGCTAGTTACCAATTCCTTATTTAATTATATATAATATTAATTTTAGGATGAAGTTGAAAAAGATAATGAAAGTAGGTGTTTCATCTGCAATATCGAAAGAGGCAGATTTAACAAAGTAAGTTTCAATAGATTATAACAGCTAAAACTTCAATTTCCTTGAAGGATTTTAAGAGACATGTAAAAGAAGAGCATAACATGTGGGAGTACATGTATTTCATTATACATGTAAATTCTCTTCTTGAAAAAGATCGTAGTGCCATGGAGAAGTATGTTTTTGAACAGGTACTTGTGGTATAATACTGCTGCAAATCCAACATTATTGTTATATATAATAGGTCAAAGCCAATTCTATTGATTTTTTCCCACTGTATAGAGCCAAATCTTTACCAGATTATGAGGTACTATAGTGTTCTTGCATACACATGATGCCCAGTATTCATCTGTTAATAGCATCATGAGAGTACAACTGAGAAACAGTCTACCCAGCCTCAACAAGCACCAGAAGAACACAGGAGGCAGAGTTCAGTTGAAGTAGGTAGTGTCTATCAAACAGGATATAGGAGGAGGAAAAGACAAGTACATCCCATATGAGCTGGGCATTCAACCAGTTTTCAGTACTGTACATGTAATTATTAGTTGACTTTGTTATAGCTAAGTAGATCTAGTTTGAAGTAGATTAGTGGAACTAGACTTTTATGCTGCATAATTGTAGTTTGCTGAGTATAATAATTATAAAGGTGCAGTCCTGTTATTAACCATTTTAAAGTCAGCTGCAGCAGCAAGTATCTCATTACATTAATGTCCATTCAACTTCAGTCTTTTGTACCAATTGGACTAATAACACATCTACAATGAGAAGAAGGGGAAGAGAGAAAGAGGAGACATGATGAACTAATCCTCACTCCTCCTTACCCCAGTAACCCTTTCCCTCTCCACTCCTGAGGGCGTAAGCTAACAGACACCATTATACCATCTCTTAACACCACCACCCTCAGTGGTTGCTATAGTAACAGGATAAACAACAGTCAAACAGGCAAGTACCCCTTACATTAACACTGTGCTGTACCACTGATGATATGTTTGATAGATTAGTGAAGTTATCACCTTTTACTGAACCAAACTCTAGCAATAGATCACCTACTCTTAAATCCTAAATTAAATATCATTAATTATTAATATTTTCTTATTTTTTACTCACTGCTATGCTGGAAGGGGATCCCTCTGTTACCATGGTAACTCGTGCAAATGGTTCCAGTCTCTTCTCTTTGCTTGATCTTGTTCCTGATGTTACTGTCCCTGCCTCCCTGGCCTCTGCATGGATCACATAGAGTTTCTCTTCAATGTCAGACATTATCTTCTTGTGGTCATTACGTAGACCTGGAGGTACTCTTTATTAGATACCGGATACATTAACTTACTCACATATAATCCTATTCCTAGCTCTTCTGACTTCATATACATCAATATCTGATCTTGGATATCCTTCTTTATCAACTAGCGGCCCGTCCATACCTACTGAGCTGTTCTAAGGTCCATATATTAATAGAAGTATGTATTTAGTTACTTGCTCCAGCGTCTGGGAGTGAATGGATAGCTCTTTCTCTATTTCTTCCTTCTGTTTCATGAGATCTTGAACGGACGCCATTTTAAATAGGCGTGGTTAATTGATTGAGCCACGCCTACTTTACCAGCCCCGCCCCTCAATCGGAACAATGATTGGTTGATGGCTCGAAGCAATTGGGAGAGTTTTTCAAGAAACATGAGTGTTGCTCCTGGTCTAGTCCCGCCTCAGTCTAAAGGAGGAGACTCCTTCGAGTCCTTTACACTGATAACAACCACTGATGAGGTCTCTTCGGGGGGGACGGGGGGAGACGGAGGAGGAGGAACCGGATACTTTATGGATAAACTAAAGGCAGGGAAGGAATGGTTTCAGAATAAACACTCAGGTAAACAACAAGCAACAACAAAAAAAATAAAAATTAATAAATAATGTATGATGATGCAATAAAATTAGTAGGTGTGATATATTTTAATTAATTGCAATTAATTAAAAGTTGTAATAATTGCACAATTGTAATTTAATGTTGTTGTTGCTGGTTACAAATTCTGGCAAATTTATTATTACTATTATTATTATTATTTACTATTAATATGTTTATAGGGTCCCGTTCCTGGGGTCAATTTTTTAATTTTCGAAGATTGAGCAGACCCAGTGGCGTGGGCGAGGCTACCACAAGACTCTTTGCTAACGTTAAACATTATTATATTAATTATCTCTTTGTGTTCCTGGCTCTCACAGTTTATTGTGTGTAAGTTAAATATACATTACAATTCAAATAGTCTGTACTGTGAAATATATGATATATATACAGTAAGGCATTGAGTGATCTTTATAATGGTGATGCATTATAGAAATGCTATATATAATTAAAATATTTTTTCTCTCTCTTTCTCTCTTCTAGTATTTCTAATCCAATATTATTGATAGCTCTTGCTCTTTGTGTCCTAACCTACTGGTTTGTTAGTATCAAGAACAAAGGAGAAAATGTTAAAATATTAGGTATGACTTATTATTAATAGTAATATTAGGAATGTGGAGAGAAAAGCATCATTTTGTGTATTAAGAGAAGAGAATTTTTGCGACAAAAATTCATAAAAAATCCAAATTTGATCGTAATCAGCTCAAACTTTCTACACAACATAAGAACATGTATATGCATCAGATAACATTATAAAAATAAAGAATTCTCTACTTTTCATTTTTGGCGAAATTTGGCCCGAGACCATGTACTATAGTACAGGGAATTTGACTTGATTTTGGAGCAACTTTAAAAATTCATAAAAAATCTAAATTTGATCGTAATCAGCTCAAACTTTCTACACAACATAGGAACATGTATATGCATCAGATAAAATTATAAAAATAAAGAATTCTCTCCTTTTCATTTTTGGCGAAATTTGGCCAAAGACCAATGGACTTTGGCCCACACTTGACGATCAATTGTTATACACATTACATAGAAATTTTTGATTTATTATTGATTTATATGTATGACCTTTCTCCTGTACAGGTAGATTGTTCAGTCCAGCTGAAGTGTACACTGCTTTAGGTATCATAGCAATACCTGTCTTCTATATCGCTGGAGCTGGCTCTACTATATTCTGGATAGTAGGTAAGTCTCTCTCTCCCCCTCTCTTTCTCCCTCTCCCCCTCTCTCCCTCTCCCCCTCTCTCTCTTCTAAACACTATTGTGTCTGGTGTAGGTGCATCAGTTGTGCTGATACTGGTCCATGCTATAGCCATGGTCCCGCTCAGTGGCGTGACGACAGACGAAGAGATGGGAATCATAATGGAGGACATTACGATATCATAAAATAGAGCTAGAGGTCTATAATTAGACTGGTTATTGTTACTAAAAATAGAATCCATCATTACGCATACTTTTACACCGAACTGAAATTAATTATTATATTCCGGTCATATCATTTTATTTAACAGTTGACAAAAAATGCAAAATTTCTGGAAAAGTACCCACGTGCTTCCACGTGTTAGCCACACCTATAAATTAATCTTTGACACACCCACCCACTTGGAACAAAGCAGCACAGGGTCTTAATCTTTTAAACTTTCTCTGGAAGTATGTCTGAAACAGAAGGACAGGAAGAGCAGTCTACCACTGGAGGAGGAGAGGAGAGCAGTAGTGGTGGGCCAGTGACTGGTGGCAGCAGCTCATCAGGGAGCGGCGGTGTGACTCTTAAGAATATGACAAAACGTTTCAATGACATCATAGCGGAACAGGACGAGCAGCTGAGGATAAGCGCCAAAATACTGACAGAGGACATGAAATACTTTACTCAAATAGCAAAGAAAAAGGTATTGCATTTTAATATTAAACAATAAATTAAAATTATGACCATTTCCCCGATTCATTCCTTCTTCAGGTTAAAACTATCCAAGAGAAGCGTCGTCAGAAGCAGCAGCTGCCATCAACGACTAACCTGATCCAGTGTGTGAATCAGGGGGCGGGGTCAGAAATACTCACCCATTACAAGGAGAAATGGAACCATATTCACAGCGACACTAACGCCTCCTCTGCTCTCTGTGACGAGATGTATCAGAGTCTTCAAAAACTGTACGGGTCTATGTCTAACTCTCACCATATCATCACCATGGCAACGGAGGAGTTAAGTGGACTTCCTGACGTATTGAAGAATATTGAAGAGACAAGCAATAAAGTGATTACTGGGGGTGTGGCTGATTATTAATTAATGTTGTTTTTGCAGATTGGTTCGATTGAAGAAATGCTGCGGAAAGTTGAGGAGAGTATTGTAGAGTGTATCAGAACAGGAGAAGTACTTGAGACCGAGCGAAAGAAACACTCTTTGAAGTTACAGCTGAAGAGACACAAGGAGGAGAAAGAGAGAGAAGTAAGAAGGAGGAGTTTAGTATTCTCTTAAATTTGTCGTTAGGTTCAGAAGTTGGAGGCTCGTGTTCAAGAGGAGAAGAGTCTGACTTTGGAAAGACAAGCAAAACTGGAGGAGGCAGCCCACAGGGAAAGACAAGAAGCTCTTGATGTAAGACACACACTCTCTCTCTCACCCTCCCTCTCTCTCTTTTAATTTCTTCAGACTATGTTCAAGCAGCAGATGTCAGAATACATTGAGAAAGGTTCTGTAGAGAAGCCTATTCTATCGGACGATGAGCTAAGGGACCGGAGCCTATCGGAACTATCAGTGGAGAGAGTTAACATTGAGGACACTGAGGGAGACGAGGAACTTAAAGTAACCAAATCATGTGACCTGATCATGTGATCCTGTTATCACTGTAGGAGTTTTTGAGTGACACTGAAGGCACTAATGAAGAGACTAAAGAGAAGCAGGAGGAGGAGGAGGAGAACTGAGAGAATCAATTTAATTATAATTCTATAAATTTTTGTGTGTCTTTCGTTCATAATTTTTTTGCTAGCTAATTAATTAATTAAGTAGGCGGTGGCTTGAGTAAGCCACACCTGTTTCAATGCCGAAATTAAAAAGTTTAAATGTATCTCGCAAATTCAAAGTCTGAAGGTAAGTAACACAACTGGAGAACTCTTTGTATTTTCAGTTAATGTTTTCTTGTTCTCCTCATTAGCTGCTGCACTAGTTCAGAGCTGGTTAGCACAGAATACACTGCTAGAGGAACCGAGTAACCATGGCAACCCGACCACTTACCGCCCCCAATACCACCCACGCAACTCACCAGAAAGAGATCACGTGACTGGAGACTACGTCAGCCAATTGAACTGGACAGAAGGTCACGTGACAGACGACGTCCAATTGGCATTGAGTGGTCTCCGAGATACAAAGATAGTTTTAACAAATGTACCAGATCGCCCCCGGGGGGACGACCCCCTCATGAATATGAAAATGAGACATGAACTTGTACGAAAGAGACGGAGGGAGAGGGACCACGCCCACTCACTGGCATTAAGAGAAGAGAGAAGACAAGAAGAGATAAAGAGAAGAGCAAGAGAACTGATGAGGGTAGAGGAGGAGGAACGGAGAGCAAGGGAGAAGAGAGAGGAGAAGGAGATACAGGAACACGTTAGAATTATCAGAAAACAACTAAAAGAACAACAAGAGAAAGAAAAGTATGCATTTAGTATGGGAATGAGATATGTAGTATGGGAATGAGATACATGTATGTAGTATGAGAATGAGATATGTAGGACAGGAATGAAATATGCAGTATGGAAATATAAGTATGGGAATGAATTATATAGTATGGGAATGAAATATGTAGCATTGGAATGAGATATGCAGTATGGGAATGAAATATGTAGTATGGGAATGAAATATGCAGTATGGGAATGAGATATGCAGTATGAGAATGAGATATATAGTATGAGAATGAGATATGTAGTATGAGAATGAGATATGTAGTATGGGAATGAGATATACAGTATGGGAATGAGATATTTAGTATAAGAATGAGATATGCAGTATTAAATGTATATAATATGGGAATGAAATATATAGTATGAGAATGAGATATGCTATATGGGAATGAGATATGCAGTATGGGGATAAGATTAATAGCATGGGAATGAGTTTTGCTGTGTATTTATTAATTATTTATTGTTCATTTAGAGTCGTGAGGTTGTTACTAGAGAAAGAAGAAAAAGAGAGAGGATCCTCTGGACTAATGAAGGGAGAGAATACAGTGGAGGGGGAGGAGGAGGAGAAGGACTGTAAAGGAGAAATGAGAATTGGGAGAGAGTGGAGGGAGGGAACAGGAGAGAAAGAGAGTAAGAGGAGCTGTAGGAAGAGGGACACGGCCTTGACTAGGAGGATATTACTGAAGCAGTTAGCAGAAGCTGAGACTAACGATAATAAAAATAATCTTATGGTAATTATACTTAAAAACATCACACGCACATGTACCATACAAGTGGTTTAAATTATAATCTATTTCTCTCTCTCTCTCCCTCTTTCTTCTCTGTGTAGCTCCTAAGACAGTGTTTTGTGGTGTGGTATGAGCTTATATCGGAGCAGCTGGTATTGAAGAGGAAAGTTCAAGTGATTGGAGACTGGAGGATACTCTCTCGTTATTGGAGGAGGTGGAGGAACTTAATAAAAGAAAATAAAACTAAGAAACTAGCAATGAAGGAAATTGAACGATTGAGGAAAGAGAAGCAGTAAGAAGAACTGCCTTTACCAAAGTGTCCATTATATGGAGGCTTATCTGTGCAATTATTATTATTTATTATTATTATTATTATTATTATTATTATTATTATTATTATTATTATTATTATTATTATTATTATTATTATTATTATTATTATTATTATTATTATTATTATTATTATTATTATTATTATTATTATTATTATTATTATTATTATTATTATTATTATTATTATTATTATTATTATTAGGGTAACTGAATTAGCTGATACTCATTATAAATCTCATTTGTTGTGGAAGTGTCTCGTTTCATGGAGGGGTGTGGTTACTGCCGCTAAACTGTACAAGACTCAAAGTCACGAGAAAAAAATATCAAATTTTCTTGAGTCATTGACAACTTCAAATTCCGTTGAGGAAGAATGCTCCTTTAGTGAAAAACCCAACAATCTACCAGCAAAAGGAAAGGAAAAACCGTTAGGGGGTAATGAAAGGAGGAGTGATCTTTCAAAAGGGGTGTGGTCAACTGCAAGAGCTCACTTGGTAATGATTTAATTTATTTTAACCCTCTCTAATTAATGTCACAGGACAAGGTACTGATGGAAGGAACAAGAAGAGCAAATGAAAAAATAAAAGAAAATAAAGAAGTTAATTAATTTTATTATTATTATTATTATTATTATTATTATTAGGTAAATGGACTCAATAATTTGCAGTCTCATTCCAGTACCAAAGTATTAGCTCAGGAACAAAAACATAAAACGAAATTAACGTCACCAGCTAAACAACCAGCACTACTGAAAAGTAAAACAAAATATTAATTAATTAATTAAATTAATTAATTAATGTAGAAATGGAAGAGCGAGCAGCATTGATGTCAGAGAGAAAGTTGGCCAGAGAAGAAAGAAGAAAAAGAAGAGAACAAGAAATAAAAGTACATACACAACCATAGACTGTAAATTGTATGTATCGATCAGAAAATGTATTTAAAATTTGGTGTGATTTTGGAGCCATTTTTTGGAAAAAACCATGGGCTATAGTACAAGGAAATTTTCAGAAATTGGCTTGTTTTTTAAAATGGTCATAACTCGAAAATTTGAGCTCGGAATCTGCTCAAACTTTCTACACAGCATAAGGACATCAATATGTATCAGAAAATGTAATAAAAATTTGAGGTGATTTCGGAGCCATTTTTTTGGAAAAAACCATGGGCTATAGTACAGGGAAGTTTTCAGAAATTGGCCAATTTTTTAAAATGGTCGTAACTCAAAAATTTTAACTCGGAATCGGCTCAAACTTTCTACACAGCATAAAGACATCAATATGTATCAGAAAATGTAATAAAAATTGGGAATGAATTCGGAGCCATTTTTTGGAAAAAACCATGGGCTATAGTACAGGGAAATTTTCAGAAATTGGCTCGTTTTTAAAATGGCCGTAACTTGAAAATTTGAGTTCGGAATCTGCTCAAACTTTCTACACAGCATAAGGACATCAATATGTATCAGAAAATGTAATAAAAATTTGGGGTGATTTCGGAGCCATTTTTTGGAAAAAACCATGGGCTATAGTACAGGGAAATTTTCAGAAATTTGCTCTTTTTTAAAATTGCAAATATTAGTTCAGAATTGACTCGAACTTTTTGCACAGCATAGGTACTATTTAAAATTACATTTTATTTTTTAATAAGTATAATTATTTTGTTGTTTTTAGGAGGAAATGGAAGCTCGTGAGAGAGAGAGACAGAGAGAGGAAAGAGAGCTAAAGAAAGCTGAAGCTTTGAAGAAACTAGAAGAGAAACGACAAGCGGAAGAGAAGGAAAGAGAACGTCAACTAAAAGCGGAGAACTTTGCAAAACTAAAAACCAAAGCTGAGTCTCATTATCAAAAACAACTACTCCGTCACTTTGGGATGAATCCCTGGATTAAATTCAATATGGGCATGAAAAAGGCGTGGCAAATAGGTGTGGCTTATAATGAAAAACACGTCGTGTTGACGGCAATGATTGTTTGGAGAAGGAAGACTAATGAACTGATTAAGATGAAGAATGATAAAGCAGATTCCTTTTTAAGACTCAAGACTCAACAATATGTGTTAAATGCATGGAGGGAGGTGAGGGTATTGTGGCTAGCTGTAAGTGTGTGTATGTACACAATCATTAATTGAAGATTATACAATAAACCTGTCTGTGTGTGTCATATAACTTATTATCATTATGACTCCCTCTCCCTCTCTCTCATTATTATTACAGTATGTTAAACATCAAAATGAGTTGATGGTTCTTGCTGTGTCATCAAGGAAGAGGATACTCAAGCGTAAGGTTCTTCTCAGTTGGGAGAGAGTAACAAGAGAAGAGAGAGTATCATACTGGGAGAGAGAGAGGAAGGCAAGGAAGCATCATGAGAGGTAAGAGGAGGAGGAGGAGGAGGAGGAGGGACGTGACAGTTGGTATATCTATCATTATAGGAGTTTGATGGTATCAGTCCTGTCGTCATGGCGATCATATGTTCCTCTTTCTCTAGCAGAGAAGGAGCAGGAGGTAAGGAGAGCAGAGCTGAGGAGGAAAGTATCACAATGGCTGCCGGACTATCAACCAATCAAATTATCCGAGCAATGAGCCCAACCCACCCAATTCTCATTAATAATGTTACAATAAAATATTTTTGTTAATTATTATTATTATTATTATTATTATTATTATTATTATTACACTCTTTCACAATAAAGTAAAATAATGATTATAATTAATGATTATTAATTAACGAGTGGTTGCTAGGATACAAGGATTCCTTGAGATTGTTCTGATTCCTTTGAGCTCTTGGCCCCGCCCCCATTAACCTTCTTATCCGCCTCACCATGGAAACGAATATTATACTTCTCTCTAAACGCGTTCAACTCTTTTCCTTTCTCTTCAACCTGTACCTTTAACGTCTCAACTACTTTACCTAACTATAGAAAAGAATGATCGGTATTAGCTCCACCCACAAGTCTATTTAGGCCATGCCTACCTGTTCCATATTCTCCTCTAGTGTTGGGAGTATCTCTTTGACGGTTCTCTCTATCAAGACTCCGCCCATCATACGAAAACACCGTCTTTCGGGTGGGGCCACTTTGAGCGTTTGAATGACCAATCTACCACACAACACAACAAATAATATAAAATTAATAAACAAAAAATAATTATAAATAAATAAAATAAATAATCAAAATGTGTTAAAATGGCTACCTATGCTCATTCTTGTCGCTCTCAAGTTCTGATAGTTTGTTGATCAGTTTCCGCTGGTCGCCTCTCATTTGTTGGAACTTTGATATAATTTCCATTTCACTCATTTGCTGCTCTCTTGATGGTTTGGCCGCCATGTTTATTTTCTTGTGCGCAAACTGCGCATGTGCAGAGCTAAATCAAAATGGCGGATCATAGCTCCTTCTCATCCTCCTCCTCAAATGACACCTCCTCTAAGAGAGACCCCTACCAGCTCCAGTCTTGGACTGATCAATCAGATTCCAGCACTTTTTACGAGGAGTCCTGGCCTCATGTAGCCACTCCCCCTGTACATGTAGTTACCATGGAAACCAGCGACACTCGTCCAGTGATAGCTCGGTACATTCACAGGTTTAGGACCACGCCCCCCACATCAAGAGAGGGACGTTCCCGTGACACTGACGGTCAGTTCTGGTGGAAGAAAAAAGAAAAAATGAATCAACCAATCAGAGTAATGATAATGATAATGAATGCATTAAATTTTGATTGATTGATACACAGTGCTACATACCTTGACCATTAAAGTCTTTTAAAAGATTAAAGACTTCATATGCAGACACACACCCATCCCTTTCTATTCTTCTTTATTCATCAAAGGCTCCTTTGCATAACAGACATATCTTATTGCATAACCAAACCAACAGCTAATGTACACACACTTGTACTCATTATGAGCAGGTGCTAACTGCCCGCTTCTTTAATTGAATTTATTACATGAAATTACACACACATACATGTACATGTATTCTCACAATACATCATGTACGTGTATTATGAGGTAGTACTGGTCGCTCAGGTACAGTGGTAGACTGGTAGTCACTGAACCGTGAAGCTGTACAAATAATGTGAACTGTGGTAATTGGATCTAAGCCAATAAGAAGACCTCAAATCACAGCAGGTCAGGCTTTACTAATCTGGAGGGCAACAATGAAAAGAAGAGCAACAAAGACAATCAGATTAATGTTCAATACTAGCTCTCTTAAACTCAGTTAGCAGTATTGAGTTATTCATTATAAGCATGGCGGGCTTCATTGCACTGCTATGGCTACACTCTCACCTCTTTCCCTCTCCCTCTCTCTCTCCTATCCTATAGGTCGATCAAGAAAGCAACACTAAAGCAGCAAGGAGTGTTTCTAGGGATGAGTCTTTAAAAGAAAGAGCCGGTATAGCTTTAGAGAAGAGGTGAGATAAGGGCTGTGTACTGAGGGTTGTTTGAACAGGCTTCATGACAGCTGGTACTGGGTACCATTGGCATATGTTGAAGGAATATGAACCAGTGGATTGGTTGATGCACTTACCTCTCCTCAGTAGTAGTACATGTACATGTCTACGTGTAGATTTAATTATTAATCCATTAGGTATGGTCAGTGGGTAATTAACTATCATGTAGAGGTACATGCACGCAATTAAAAGCAATTAAAAATGTGACACACGTGTGATTCCTTAATACAGAGAGGTCATAATTTCATAGGTACAGGTTTGTACCAATTGGGACATTACAAAATGTCATTATTATGAAGGTGTCCTCATTATAAAGGTGTCCTCATTATAAAGGTGTCCTCATTATAAAGGTGTCCTTATCATTTTAACCTGTAGCATGTGTGAGATGACTAAAAAGATTACTAATGAACCTCTTGGTCTTTTTGTACCAGAGCTCTTCAAAGAGGAGTTTATATTGTATTAATGGGAAGGTAGTCACTGACAGATGATCTGTGGTGAGACTAGACTATAGCCAGTAGGCTGAGTGGCAGATTTTGAAGGCCTCATTTTGCTTATTGTTGTGTCTTCAACTGTACTGATCATTAGTAATTGTTAAATACAGATATAAATTTTGAGGTACTAATCTAACTAAAAATGGTAGACTTAAGGACACCTAGAGCTAAATATGAGAGACCAAAAGCTGAAAAATGGTAGAGAACCTAGGCCAAATATAGGAGACCAAAAGTCTCCTAAACTCCCTCTAGATCTAACAGTGTTTGTCTGTATGAAATTATTTGAAATTATGTACAAGTGTTCCTCATCTTCCCTTCTCTCTCCTTGCTCTGTAGTTCTAGTTTACTGTCTGCTCGCTCTCAATCACATGAGGATCAACTGACCTTCAAAACAAGGACACATTCGCTTCATTTGTTTACAGAACCCCTCTCCGAAGTCAGCTTGTCTGATGATGATGCTACCCAAGACGAAACACATTTAAAGATCAAGAGAAATGATGACATTCTTTACCAATGGAGGCTAAACAGACGCTTAGAAGAAGCAAGGAGGGACGTAGCAGCTGCCAAAAGAGAGAGACAAAGAAAAGAAATAATAGAACAGTCAAATAAAGAAAATTACTCTTTATCACGACTTCATAATATGCAGCCATCTTGTCATAAAAACTGCACCTTACCAGTATCAGCTAGTAGGGGTGGTGGCCATTGTGGTCCTTTGGTCCAGCTGGAGAGAGAAGAGAGGAGGAGAGAGGGTGAAAGTGATGGAGGTCAACTTGAAGAGTTACATGATGACAGTTTTGATTCGAGTCTCTCTTCATTCAGCAGTTCCGTTGCCTGCTCTGAAAGACCCTTAGCTCAAAGAAAGGATATTGATAAGTTATTGAGTGAGGTAAGTATGGTCTCGTTAATAATGGTTTTATTATCACTGATTTTAATGTATTGGAGGTTCAGTTCTAGCATTTTTTAATTAAAATAATGAATTATTGAATTAAGTACTACAGTAGAGCCTCTCTTAATGGACACTCTCTATAGTGTACCTTAACAGACAGCACCTAGTGTACCAACTACATTCCTTACTGTATAAAATAACCTCCACATAAAGGACACCTCTGTATAACAGAGACACAGTGTCCATTATAGCAAGGCTAGTCTGTATACATAAACAGTGAGTAATTGGTATGTTCATTAAGAGGCTCATTATGTGCAGTTATGAGAATGTCTGAGTTAATCTTTGTTTTGTTTGTCAAGGTTCAATGAGCATGTCCATGCTCTCCTAAACTGTGTCTGTAGCTAAAAGTGTGTATATTAAATGTGAGTGTGTGTGTGTGTGTATTATTGAGAGTGTGTGTGTGTGTGTGTATATATTGTGAGTGTTATGGTTCAAACAGTTTTCATTTATGGTCAGTTAATGTCCTCTTTTCACACAATATGGTAGCACTCCATTGTATTGTGTTTTATTAACTTTGAAGTCTCACTTTATTGAATTAGGAATTGCCCATAGCCTCAGTATATTTGTACACATAATGCGTATTATTTTTAGAGATGGACACAATTTCTTAAAATGGCTGTGACTTGAAATTTTGAGCTCAGAAACAGCTCAAAGTTTCTACACAGCATAATTAGTGACCTAATTTTGGAGCAACTTTAGAAATTTGTAAAAAAATTCATTTTTGGTCAGAATCAGCTCAAACTTTTTACACAACATAAGAACATACATGTACATGTATATGTATCAAAAAAATTATAAAAATCGAGAATTCTCTCCTTTTCATTTTTGGTGGAATTCGCCTGTACTATAGTACAGGGATTTTTACCTGATTTTGGAGTAGCTTTAAAATTTTATAAAAAATTCAAATTGGATCGACATCAGTTAAAACTTTCTACAGAACATTAAAACATGTATATGCATCGGAAAAAATTATAAAAATAGAGATTTTTTACCTTTTATTTTTGGCAAAATTTAGCCATTTTGTCTGATTTTGGAGTAACTTTCACATAAAAAAAAACTCTAGTTTTTGTCAGAATCGAACTTTCTACACAAAAATAAGGACAATTATATGTGTGAGAAATTATAATAGGAAGTGGTGATTTGGAAGAAAGCAGCTGCTATTAATGCAGAATGCTTAAACTAACCTTGATGATTTCACTGCTTGAGGCACAATAGTGTCTCTGTGTGTGGGTGTACATGAGTGCATGCGTGTGTGTGTGTGTGTGTGTTCATCTTTTAGTGTCTAATTTGCATGACAGTATCATTATTGTCATTACAAATGAGTCTTTATTTTCTTGACACTTTAGACAATCAAGGCTCGTCTGTTTGTTTAAACACACAGTCATTTTCCCAGCACATTATATCCAGGCTGGACTCTCTCCTAATTAGACGAACCAACACACAAACAAGCCATCATGTCAGGCTAGACTTGAAGGCACTGACAGAGCCTGGCTGTCTCAGGGAGGCTCACCATTAATTGGTTAATGAGTAAAGATTAAGACTAAACAATATTCAGTAAAGTATGTTAGCAGTTTTGTAATGTTTAGCCAACAGTCACTCTCTCACCTCAAACCAGTGGGTGGTGGCTGAATGCTGGAGATGAGGTGTTTATGCTTATGTTGGACCTTATGGTGTCTCTGAATGTTAGGATATCTGTCTTTTAGTAGGCCTAAAGTCTCGCTCTGTTTCCATCGTGTAGTGTTGTTGAGAAGATAATCAATATCCGCTCTAGTCTAAACTTTTCTCTTATGATGTACAACTCACATTAAACATGAGACACTTTTACCTTTTATTTTTCACTTCTTTTCCTCCCTCCCTCTCTCTCTCTCTCTCTCTCTCTCTCTCTCTCTCTCTCTCTTGTATTACTTAATGAGAACATTTTAACCATCTAACGATTTCCTACTTAAAGCCAATCTGTCGCTATGCCAACTGTCTCTATGGCGACTCTCCACCTAACCAGATGTGAGATTTTTGTATCCTTTTTATGTGTTCAGGCATAATTACTTATGATAATGGAGTACCAATAATGAACAACACTGGTTAGAGTGTCAAAGGAAGCATAGCTTCTTTATTAAAGTTAGCCACACTACCTATCCTTAATACATGTACAGTGTAGCCTCTTTCATTTGGGCCCACACTACCTGTCCTTAATACAGAGGTGTCCTCATTTCAGAGGTACTTTTGTATAGGCTTATACCAATTCGGATAGTACAGAATGTAGCGGATGGATGTGTTAATTTGATTATGATTATCATACCAGCTTTATTTATCATGAATAGCAGTTACCATTGTATCAGGCTCAATGCTTAACATATCACTCTGTGTGTGAGCTGGCCTTCTTCTAAAGACATTCATTGATATTACCTGACTCATTATGATATTCATGCACATGGACATTGTCATAATTCAATTGTATCCTGGCAACTAATTATCCATTATAGCTCTGCTGTGGCAGCTTTTCTTTTCTTCATGAATTACATTTTCATTTTCCTGCAGTTCGTGTTCCTTAAAATTATAAATAAAGTTAAATGGACACTCTATAATCAGGGCAAGTAGTACGGTCCCAATGCAATATAAGTGTGTATTAATGAACCTCTGAAATAAGAAATCAGGACAGTATTATTGGGTCCCAAGGTGTCCGGAATAGGCAGGATTGACTGTAGAGAATACAAGAGGAGACCCATAGATCATAGTGACGGAATTGCAGTGAGACTCTTTTTTGTCATTACTTGTTAATTTGACCAGTAATGAAGTGTCCCTCTTACTGAAAGGCTGTGGGTTGGCTGGTGTGGGATCTTAACTAGTGATGACATTATTTTCATAGTAATCCCACCTGAGATTGGTTGATATCACCATCCACAAGCCTGTTACACTGGAAAACAACAGCTACTGTAGCAGCTCTGTAGACTACATGCAGCGTTTGATTTGACGTCATCTTAAGTCTTGCAAGGTCTCTCTTGTACGTGAAATAGAGTCATATTGTGTGAACAGGAAGGCCTACAGCATGAGCTAAACTGCTCTTTTACTCTTCATAGAAACCTCATCTCTCTCTCTCCTCTCTCTCTCTCTCTCTCTCTCTCTCCAATCATGTTTTGTTGTCTGTCGTTTCTTTCAACACGCCAATTAGCCCTTTAATGGTGACTGATGTTAGCATTATCTTCTTCAATGCTATTGTGAACGTTTCCCACTTAGCCAACAAGAGATGTATAGATTAGCAGTCTGTACATTAACATGGCAACAAATTCATCACCTTTTCTCATGAGCTCGTGTTTGTCTCTCCTTAGCATAGCCTCTCCCCATTCATCTATCATGCATTCATCTTTCCATGTTAGCAAGAAAACAGCCTCTTCGTCCACTTTAAGGTGAAAATTATGGTCATTTTCACTCAATTTTAAATGTAAATGAAAGGTTTAGGTGCAAACTTCTAAATCAGTAGTTATTCATCAGTTATTCCCAATGAATAATGGATGATCCCCTGCCTGCTGGAATGCAGGTAGGGAGGTATGGCAGTCTATAGTAAAGTGAGAGACGTGACCGATTTCGTGATTGTTATGTTGGAATTCGTAGCTTCGGCATCTGTCAAGTGCATTCTATCGTATTCATAGTTGACTAAGGAGATTCACAGGTTCACATTAATGATATTCACGCTAGAAGGAGTGTCTTACAATAACATATCAAGCACTGCTAAGGACACTATTAGGCCTGGAGGTGTGTGTCTGCTGTAATTGTATTCATTATCTTATGCAGTTTAGCTTATGTAGGGCTTGTGTTGCGGCTTAGCTAATGAGGCCTAATTGCCACTATTTAACAAGCAGACGTTAGCTAAAACTGCAAACAGGACAAAGCCTTCCTGCCTGCTCTCTTGAAACACGGTCATTGTCTCTTCTTAGCCGGAGAAGATACAGCATTAGCTCATTGCTGCCATTGCTCAATGAAAACTGGCCTTTTGCTTCACTACAATCAACCTTCTGCTTCTCCTTCTTCAAAGATGATGCTTGCAACTTATCCCTCACCTGCACACCAGCAGCAACAAGCTACATCTCCTCCTGCTTTTAGCGCCATATCTCAGAGGACTCACCCTGCTGCTGGCGGCCTCCTTTCTACAGCCACAGGATTCATACCAACTGCTCTGCCACTCGCAATTGCTCCTTCGGCTGTGTTTGGACACCATCATCACCACCACCAGCCCGTAGCTCTGAGGGGACCTGTTCCAGCCCCACAGATCCTACAGCACCATTTCGCCTCTGTGAAAGTAGAGGAGGCCAAGAGGAGAAGCGAGAGCCCGAGGAGTCGTTCACCATCTTCAACACCGCCGGCTCCACAGGCCAGCAAGCCACAGCACACAGCATTCTCCATTGATGCCATATTGAGCAAGAAAGATGAGCCCAAGAAGCATATAAGCAGCAGTAGTACCAGCAGTGAAGTCTCCCTAGCACCTCATCAGACTTCACTCCTTGCCTCTCCTCCGTCAGTGGGACACACACCACACTTGACAAGGACTACTGCAAACGGGCTATTCTACATCTACACTGCAGCAAGTCCTACTGCAACTGGAGGACATCCTACTGTTGTACAAGCGGCTCAAAATCCTTCTCCATTTTCACCTTTTGCCAGTCTGAGAGGCCATCATTTTGATCATCATCATCACCATCACCATGAACTACAAAGATCTCCATTAGGACCACTTGTTCTACCACCACCAGGTAATTACCTACACTAATTCTTTGCATTTTTGGACTGTCTAAAATGATAATGTTCATAATTAGCAAAATAACTCCAAATTAGCTAATGCACATGTTCGCATGATGATGGGTGTATTGTGTTTATGTGTGGGTTACTGTTGATGTGATTATCTTCTTAACAAGTCTAGTCTGATGAAATTAATACTTCCTCTCTTCTTATCCACAGAGCCATCAGTCCTACTCTCATCAAAGCTCAAGAGAAAGAGAAAGCTCAGGACTGTCTTTACAGAGAAGCAGCTTGAGGGTCTAGAGACGAAGTTCTCCGAAAAGAAGTACCTATCAGTTCCTGATAGAATGGAGCTGGCAAACAGACTTGAGTTGAGCGAGACACAGGTGAAGACCTGGTTCCAAAACCGACGAATGAAATGCAAGAAGCAGCAACAGGTCGAACAAGGAAGCAGTGGGGAAGGCTGCAGCGAGAAAGACGAAGAGAAAGACGGAGAAGAATTTGAAGAAGAAGAAATCGAAGAAGATGAAGACGACTTGGAATCAAACTGCTCAAAGAGATTGAAACTCTGCAGCTCAAGCAGTTCACCTCAGTCTCCTGAGAGTGACTGCTGCGGTGATTATACTAACACACCTACTAGCAGTCACTTGCAGTCATGATACACTCTAGACTTATAAATATATATATATCTTATATTATTTTTGTATTATAGTATCTGCTAATATTGCTTTTTGTCTTATCCCTGTCCCGCTTTCACATACTCCATCATGCACACTTTTCCTTCTCTACAGAAATAACATTTATATTCTATTTTTCCTTCCTGATATCTTATACTATGATAGCATTATTATTGAAATTATTATTATTATTATTGATTTGAAAGTGATTCTGTATTGACTGGTATCATTTATAGAAAACATTACTGATAAATATAATTAAAGTGATAGAAACTGGAGGAGTAGGAGTAAACACAAACAACAATAAAACAATCATTGTTTATATTCTTCCATGATGAGGACATGAACTTAAGATGCCTTGCTCTTCTATACAACATTAATGACCAATAGTACTGTTGGTCTCCTTAATAAAGAGGTTACACTGTATTCCCTCCTTTCAATGCTAAAATGTTAAGAATGCACAATTTCTCATGAAAGGTGCAGCAATTAAGATTCTGGAGGCTACAGTAGTAGATATCAAAGACCTTCATTGTCTAATTCCAGAGATACTTTCTGCACAATTCACACGCTTGAACAGCAAGCAATACAAATACACATACAACTCCTTCTCTTTGACCCAAAATAGATAATAGGAATATTAAATAATAGTATTTTAAGCTGATGGCTTGTTCATATCAAGGAAGCATACAGAGCTTTTAACAAGGAGGACTAATTCCCTCTACCGACTGATTTAGCCACAGTAATGATCTGTGAACATGAGACATACAACTTTAACAATTGAAGGGACAAACAAGGCACTGAAGGCACACTTTGACACTAGTACGAATCAAGTGAGAGGGGACGTATGGTGGTAGAGTAACCCAACTTGCTTATCAATTGATTGAAACAAATAAAGAAAGAGATTGTCATTATCACAATGTGAAGGGGCTGTAATGGTTGAGAGCTCATGATTGTCCCACTTTGTTAGTCAATAGCTTTTGTAAGCTGAATAGACAAAACTTGAAATGATGCAACCACTAGCCTATAGTGGAGGCAATTCACACCTACTGCAATGATAATGGAGATATGATTGGGCCCACACTACCTGTCCTTAATAGTGTAGCCTCTTTCATTTGGGCCCACACTACCTGTCCTTAATACAGAGGTGCCCTCATTTTAGAGGTACTTCTGTATAGGCTTGTACAAATTGGGACATTAGAAAATGTTCACAATATAAAGGTGTCCTTATTAGAGGTGGGTACACAGGGGAGGTTCCAGAACAGTGAATGTATACAGATCAAACAGTAGCCATTAAAACAATCATATCCAGTAGAACCAGCTACAAAGACAGTAATTCATTTAACAAAACAAAGAATGGAAGGAAAAGACAGCAAAAGGGATGGACACAATCTGCATAACTGAATTGTGGCTAACAGTACAGTATAAGGCAAGTCAGTCTGTTAGCAGTATAGTTCAATGGAGCTATACACTACAGTATAGACTGCTATAGACTATAATAGTGTACTGCTATAGACTATATGTACTGCTATAGACTACTGCTAATGGACAGACTTTGTTATGACGAGGGATAGCAAACCACTGCATCACTTCTGCGACATCTCAATACAGTTGGGTTTGCCTGCTGGCAAGATTGGTTGGCCAACTGTCTCTGTGTGGTATGATAGTCCATTAGATCACTGTATTATTAATTAGATGGACTGCATTAAGGAAAGAGTCCTCTCATACTGGACTAATTAGAAGAACATCATGATGGTTGGACAACTGTCTCCATCGTAAAACCAAAATCATGTGGTAGGCTGCTGTATAGCCTCTCTTAATGGACACTCTCTATAGCATACACCTCCATTTAACAGACAGCACCTAGTGTACCAATTACATTCCTTACTGTGTATAAAATAACCTCCACATAAAGGACACCTCTGTATAACAGAGACACTACCAAAGTGTCCATTATAAAGAGGCAGGCTAATCTGAAACAAAAAAAATGCAATCTAAAAAAATTGATGACAAGTTTTTAAAGAAACTTTTCAAAAATTTTTATACATTCAAAAGGTATTGTACACTCAATAATAATAATAATAATAATAATAATAATAATAATAATAACAACAATAGTATTGAGTAAAAGTTTAATGAGTGACTCTTATTTTGTCTCAGAACAAGAGAGTAAGAGAAAGACAGTATAAACTAGTATCATTGTGTCAACTTAAACAATTTCAAACTTCTCAGGAGTGAACGAGACATCAGATGAAAAATTAACGGGTTTATTGGAGTCAGCTAACTGGATATTAATGACCTGAGACAAGGGAAAAGAGAGAGAGAGAGAGAGAAAGAGAGAGAGAGAGAGAGAGAGAGAGAGAGAGAGAGAGAGAGAGAGAGAGAGAGAGAGAGAGAGAGAGAGAGAGAGAGAGAGAGAGAGAGAGAGAGAGAGAGAGAGAGAGAGAGAGAGAGAGAGAGGGAGGGAGGGAGAGAGAGAGAGAGAGGGAGGGAGGGGAGGGAATAAATGACGACCAATTATGTGATTACAACACAGCAAAGAGAAACAAAAATAAAGAGAATGTCACTATACTATTTACTACAGTCATTGTATCAGTCTCTATTATCAATCCACTCCTCCTCTTGAACTTACTAGGAGAAAGTCACGTACACAGGAACTAACATAAATACACAATACACTTTAATATGTGTCCTTGTTCCATGTGCATGCATACAGTATACAGATACAAGATTACTACAAAGGGATGGACAAGGAATGGGAACACACTGCCCTTTATGAACTGACATTGATATCATCATCACACCAAACACTAACAATATTATAGAGGGGAGGCATTTGCCCCCAGGGGGTCAGGGGTACTACTAGAATAACTGGAATAGAAGAAGTACATGCATAACACACAATTGCCTCAAGGCAATATACAGTGTAGCCTCTTTATTAAGGACACCATTGGGCCCACACTACCTGTCCTTAATACATGTACAGTGTAGCCTCTTTATTAAGGACACCATTGGGCCCACACTACCTGTCCTTAATACATGTACAGTGTAGCCTCTTTATTAAGGACACCATTGGGCCCACACTACCTGTCCTTAATACATGTACAGTGTAGCCTCTTTATTAAGGACACCATTGGGCCCACACTACCTGTCCTTAATACATGTACAGTGTAGCCTCTTTATTAAGGACACCATTGGGCCCACACTACCTGTCCTTAATACATGTACAGTGTAGCCTCTTTATTAAGGACACCATTGGGCCCACACTACCTGTCCTTAATACAGAGGTGTCCTCATTTCAGAGGTACTTTTGTATAGGCTTGTACCAATTGGGACATTACAAAATGTCCTCATTATAAAGGTGTCCTCATTATAAAGGTGTCTTCACATAATAGTGTCACTTATGTCAGGAGGTGCATTGTCACAGTGGGAGGTTCCAATTACCCTCGGGCTACAGGAGGATTATCTTACATTATACTCTACATATTTTAAAGTTGTCTAGTAACAGCTAACCTTCCAAATCACTAATGAAGAGCGACAGTGTCTATGACACATGTACTCACATAAAGAGATTATAATATACTGAAAAGATTGTGGAATGTAAATACTAGGACTGAGGTGTGGGATGGAAAGGAGGTATGGGACGACGATTACACAGCAAATTGGACAACAGCTGTTGGAATAAATACCATAAATTCACTATCAGGGAGGGAGAGCCAGGGAGGGAGCAATGTATACACATAGACACGTACCAGTACTTGTATAAGAGGGAGTATTGAATAATGTACGGACTAGCCTCTTTATAATGGACACTGTGTCTCTGTTATACAGAGGTGTCCTTTATGTGGAGGTTATTTTATACAGTAAGGAATGTAATTGGTACACTAGGTGCTGTCCGTTAAATGGAGGTGTACGCTATAGAGAGTGTCCATTATAAAGAGGCTACACTGTATATTTATATTTATGATAGCACAAACAATAAATCGCCCCATAAAAGCCATAGGGTGGGTACAGCAAATTGTTTGTGAGACTCCATAATCACCAACGAATCAGAAATAGAGTAAACACAATCATATCCTATACACACAGTAACACATACATTGTATGCACATACATTGGTACATATAATCAATATTATACTATTTTATAATGATTATCGTGTATCTTGTCCTAATATAGTTTCCAGTAATTAGCCGCATTAGCTTCAATTAGGTTGGGTAATTTATATCTTTATATATCAATATGGACAGGACGACTACCCCCTATCCATAATATCCAAATGTACTGTAGTTCCCCTTTAAACACAAGCAATGGACATACTGTACTCTCACTGTATTGTACATACATAACTGTGCTGTACTGTCACTGCACTGTACTGTCATACATACAGATGGGAACAAGTCTAGTATTAGGCAAGATTGAGGTAAAGTTACAGACCCACTGTGTGTTGCACACAGACTTAAAGTATGTAGCAACATTGGAATAAGAATTTAACAGAAAATAGAGAGAGAGAGAGAGAGGGAGAGGGAGGGGGGTGAGAAAGAGAGAGGGAGAGGGAGGGGTGAGAAAGAGAGAGGGAGAGGGAGGGGGTGAGAAAGAGAGAGAGGGAGTTGACTCAGTAATGAGAAACATGTAGACAATATAATTTCAAACAGCCAGCCCAATCAAACAATAATTAGACACATAATGTTACTAGTTCCACACACTCTACAACTAATTCTAAGACATACGTCAATAATATACTAATAATGCACTAATAGTATATTAATAGTATACTAATAATATACACTAATAGCAACACATTTGTAACTTAGAATGCCTTTAAGCCAATGAGGCTAAAAACAACAACAACAACAATAATAATAATAATGATGATGATGATGATGGTGATGAATAGTAATACGTACAATGTACATCACTACAAAACTATTGGCAGGGAAGCAGGCTTGGCCACTAAATGTTAAATATTAAAAAAGTTGTAACATTTAGACTATTGGTCATCTGCCATATGAATCACAATAATGAACAATAATATCAATAGTAATGTCACAATCGGTACAAAAGCACCTCTGAAATGAGGACACTTCTGTATTAAGGACAGGTAGTGCGGGCCCAATGGTGTCCTTAGTTATTAAGGGCAGGTAGTGTGGGCCCAACGGTGTCCTTAGTTATTGAGGGCAGATAGTGTGGGCCCAATAACACTTGCAGCTGATAATGGCTGTAGCTGCTATTACGCTAAACAGTTTACAAAACAAAAAAATAAACTGAAAAATTAGTTAGGAAAACAAAGAGCAATAAAGAGATAAACCCACAGTAAAACAAAGAGACTGCCATAATGAACTGAACCTAATACAATAAGAGATGGACAATGCACGGACCTGGTAAGAGAGAGAGGGGGAGGGGGAAATAATCACTGTTAGATCTAGAGGGAGTTTAGGAAACTGTTGGTCTCTCATATTTGGTCTAGGTCTCCTGAAATCAACTTAAGCCCCACCCACGCATTTTTTGGCCTAAAACTTATTTCCAGATCAAACAATGGAAATACCCAGTCATTCTTTCAATAGAAAGTGTCTGTGTGTGAATGAGGTTTCAACTATGATGATATCATTAATCACAAGAAGGAAGCTGATAATAATAATAATAATAATAATAATAATAATAATGATTCCAGAACCGAACCACAAAAACATGAATACAAGGCATGGAGTCGCAGGTAGCCACGCCTACTAATAGTCCCTAGCTAGACGCAAGAATGTAAACAGAGTCTATTCAATCATTAATTAATGATATACTAACTCCAGGAAAAGGGAAGTTGTAATAATAATAACAATAACTATTAGTGTCCTATTGAAATCATTGGACTATAATACCATAGTGGACTAATAAGGAATGTGGTATGGAGACAGGGTAGGAAATAATGTATTGCTACATGAAGAGAGTCTGGTACATGATGTGATCAGTTAGTCACAAGATCCAATTGTACTCAATAATATAGCAGGACTGGAACAAAGTGAAAGAATGTCACAACATCTGGTTGGACTAATATGGTGCTTGGGATTTGGGTCAACATCATTTCAACATACATGTATTTCAGCACATGGATAATTACAATGCTGCAAAATTTTAGCTTTTAGCACTTCATTATGAAATCACAAGACGTCAAAGTATAGGAATGAGATTTGATGGTATAGGAATGAGAATTCCTTACCTCAATATGACAGTAGAGGCTTGAAGATCCAAAGTTGATCTTAATGGGAAAGAAGTCATCAGGATGGCCAGGGACTGAGAATTCCAAACTTCCAGACTTGGTACTGGAATCAATGACAGGTATGCACCAGTCTAGCAGATGCTTCCTAGTGTCGTAATGATACTCTCCATCAATCTCCCCGACCACTGGAGACCCACCACCACTCCTAGAGGAAATAAAGAAAATAATAAATAATGAATATCATGAGCAAGTTGATATCATAAAAAATGTAAGATGAATGGAGAATTCTCTCATAGCCACTTTTGGCAAAATTTGGAATGTACATGTACTGTAGTACAGGGACTTTGGCCTAATTTTCGAGCAACTTTAAAAATTTATAAAAAATCCAAATTTGATCGGAATCAGTTCAAACTTTCTGCACAACATAAGAACATGTATATGTATCAGGAAAAATTATAAAAGTGGAAAATTGTCTACTTTTCATTTTTGGCAAAATTTGGCTAATGACCCTGTACTATAATACAGGAACTTTTAACTGATTTTGGAGCAACTTAAAATAAGTTAAAAAATCTAAATTTGATTCAAATTAGCTCAAAATCTCTACACAACATAAAGTATCTTATTTAATTGATAAGAATAATAAATAATAATAAAAATGGCCCAATATAGTACAGAGGATTAGCAACAATTAGAAACAATTAAGATACTGATAGTAAATATAATAACACACTGACCAATCATAAACAGGAAACCAAATGCGATTGAAACACTAGCAACAACAACTCCACAGCAGACTAATGTAAAACCTCTTCAACAAGGACACCATTGGACCCACACTGTACCTAATACAGGAGGGTTGTACCAATTGGGACATTAGAAAAGGTCCTAGTCATAAAGGTGTCCTTATAAACCATACAAATGCCTTCTCTGTGTGTGTGTGTGTGTGTGTACATGTACTTATAACATCATTTCCTTTCTCTTTCTTTCCCCCTCATTCACAGACCCTGAGTCTTTCTATGTCTCAAGTTTCATGTACACAAACACACGGTCTCTTTCATCTGTAGTCACTGTCCAGTAATGGTTGCTTGGGAATTTATTTATATCTCAAGATCAAAGGAGAACATCTGTTTTAGCTGTGGCTACTAAATTGAAGCCCTCTCAATCCTCCTTAGGTATTAATGATTCCCCCTAATGTCATTATTGTGGCATTAGTGGTTGATATGCTGCCCACCCTTCACTAATTCAATCCATCCCTTTTCTCTGCCTTGTTGTTCATCTTTACACAGCTCAACCTCTCTCCTTAGCTAATGGCTGCCACTCAGTCAAAGTTAGAGTAGGGTACAGGTAATAAGGTGAGGAGACAGCTCCTTAACTGTCAGTAGGTTAGTCTCTTAACTTGCCATAACTGCTGGTCACTGTCAACGTGTTAAGCCATCACTTGATGTAACTGCACCAATTACCAGCTACTGCTGGCAGCCACTGACCCATGAACATGTACATGTGTACATGTACATAATATACACACAATCATACAGCACCTTTATGATGAGGACACCTTTATGATGAGGACACCTTTATAATGAGGACATTTTGTAATGTCCCAATTGGTACAAGTCTATACTGAAAAGTACCTCTGGAATGAGGACACCTCTGTATTAAGGACAGGTAGTGTGGGCCCAATGGTGTCCTTAATGAAGAGGCTACACTGTACATGTATTAAGGACAGGTAGTGTGGGCCCAATGGTGTCCTTAATGAAGAGGCTACACTGTACATGTATTAAGGACAGGTAGTGTGGGCCCAATGGTGTCCTTAATAAAGAGGCTACACTGTACATGTATTAAGGACAGGTAGTGTGGGCCCAATGGTGTCCTTAATAAAGAGGCTACACTGTACATGTATTAAGGACAGGTAGTGTGGGCCCAATGGTATCCTTAAGGGGCTGGGATAATGAGGATATCCCTTTTAAAATGAAAAGTAAAGCACTTAAAGAAGGTGTGTGTGTGTGAGTGAGTGTGCCCATGCCATATAATGTGGTTGGGGGGTCTACCTAGTTAGTGAAGAGTGAGGGAAACAGAGAGAGAAAGACTCACTCAGACAAAATGAAATAGAAAATGTCCCGAAGTGTGTGTAGCAGGCCTGACCATAAAATGTCCCAAAATTATTTATAAAAATAAGACAATTAAGAGAAGGGACAGGCACACGTATAAACACATGCAGAGGGAACTATCAGCCTAAACCACATAATGGAGGCAGTCACACAGACAATGTATACTACTAGCTTGTACTTGGTCTTAAATAATAAGTACAACAATTACTGAGAGGAGAAAGGTCAATGACATCAGAACATACTTTAATTAGTGACATTATACTGACAGTAACAAGAACTGTCTTTATGAAATATTACACACTACATGATGTAATGCAACTGGTTACATGTACAGTGTAGCCTTTTTATTAAGGACACTACTACCTGTCTAAGCTTAATACAGAGGTGTCCTCATTTCAGAGGTACTTTTGTATAGGCTTGTATCCCAAAATATCTTCATTATAAAGGTGTCCTCATTATAAAGGTGTCCTCATTATAGAGGTGTCATTATTAAATAAATAAAAAGCTTGTTGTAGTTCCAGGAAGCGACCAAAAAGTTTTAAAAATATAATTATCAATTTCTCTAAAAAGACAATAACAGAGCTTGTATGGTTAAAGCTGTAGTAGATTCAGATTCAAGATAAGTACTAGAGAGACAAAATGGACTTAGTGCAAGGAAGAATGCTTGAAACTAAATATATATGTATATAGACATAATAATAATAATAATAATAATAATAGTAATAATAATAATAATAATAATAATAATAATAATAATAATAATAATAATAATAATAATAATAATAATAATAATAATAATGAAATAATTATACAGACTAGCCTCTATATAATGGACACTGTGTCTCTGTTATACAGAGGTGTCCTTTATGTGGAGGTTATTTTATACAGTAAGGAATGTAATTGGTACACTAGGTGCTGTCCGTTAAATGGAGGTGTACGCTATAGAGAGTGTCCATTAAGAGAGGCTATACTGCATACTGTAATGAGAGGTTAAGAGAGAGAAATAAGGAAATGAATGTGTTTTTAAAGGGATAAGTAATGCTGATTGATACAAGCTTAGTTCATAATGAACACCCACAATGTAACTGCAGTAAGACACACCCAATGGGAACAATAACAAGAAAAGGATCAATAAAATAACAACTGGGGTATGAGCTGGGAAGGAAAAAGAGAGAAAGAGGAGGGATAAAATAGATGGAGCCACATCTAGAAGAGGAAACCTTTGATAGATACTTGAAGAGAGTGACAAAGGAAGGAGACCCGTCCTCAAACAACCACAGGTATAAAAACATTATGACCTAGGGGTGTAAACCTCTCACAGGCCATTAGACAGTATAGGGTATCTAAGGAGGAGTCAGCATGTACTCTGTACACACTAGAGTCTAATGGGCTGGGCGGGATCAAATATAACCAGAAGCAGGTGCCATTAGTAAACCCTCAAAGATAACAAATTGTCATAACAGGACAAACACACTTCCCAAGGACTCTTGAGAGAGCACCCAATAGTCCATTAGAGAGAGGAGGAGGAGGAGGAGAGAAAGGGAGGGATAACTCAGTGTGTTTAGCAGAAATGAATAATGTAACATGCTTATGGCAGTTACTTAAACATAACAGGAGAGAGGGAGAGAGAGAGAGAAATGTGATATTAATCATAGTCCATAATCATTAGAAATGGCTAATGGTATGTTAACAGTTACTATATATATATACAAGCTATGTGTTATTATTGATCAGTAATGGAGGACATAAATAGCATGTATGTAAACAAACACACAGAATAAGACAAAGAGACCAATACACAGTTAGGGATATTAATAGTCCATCAACAGGTCCCCATTAGTACAGGTAGGGAATGGCATCTGGATCCATCAGACACACACACAAGAGTCTGGACTAGTCATAATATAAATAGATTAGGCTGATCCCAATTACTTATCATAACTGGATTAGCATGTACACACATGTACAACCAGTCACTTTACCTTATTAGCAACCTAACCTTTATCCAGTTAATGGACACTCATTAACTGGATGTCTACAACCACTAACAATGCTAAAGGAGGATAAAAGACCGGGATAAGTTCCAGCTGGATAAGCAATAATGTATTTAATTAAACACCTGAGGAATGGAAGAATAGATCACCTGGCGGATTAGTCAAAGGAAGATAAAAGGACATTAGATACCATTAGATGAAGAATAATTGAAACACATACACACACATACCTTCATTACTGACATACCTTTAATAGTACAGAGTACATGAAATAATGTGTACACACAGTGGGGTTCAGTTACAAAATAAAGACACAAAAAGGACACAAACACATATACACTCTAGACAACTTTCTGATGGCCGTAACTTTAAAATTTAAACTCAGAATCAGCTCAAACTTTCTACATAACATAAGTACATCAATATGTATCAGAAAATGTAATAAAATTTTGGGGTGATTTCGGAGCCATTTTTTGGAAAAAACCATGGGCTATAGTACAGGGAAATTTTCAGAAATTGGCTCGTTTTTTAAAATGGCCATAACTTGAAAATTTGAGCTCGGAATCGGCTCAAACTTTCTACACAGCATAAGGGCATCAATATGTATCAGAAAATGTAATAAAAATTTGGGGTGATTTTGGAGCCATTTTTTTGGGAAAAACCATGGGCTATAGTACAGGGAAATTTTCAGAAATTGGCTCATTTTTAAAATGGCCATAACTTGAAAATTTGAGCTCGGAATCGGCTCAAACTTTCTACACAGCATAAGGGCATCAATATGTACCAGAAAATGTAATAAAAATTTGGGGTGATTTTGGAGCCATTTTTTTGGGAAAAACCATGGGCTATAGTACAGGGAAATTTTCAGAAATTGGCTCATTTTTAAAATGGCCATAACTTTAAAATTTGAGCTTGGAATCAGCTCAAACTTTCTACACAGCATAAGGGCATCAATATGTATCAGAAAATGTAATAAAAATTGGGGGTGATTTCAAAGCCATTTTTTGGAAAAAAACATGGGCTATAGTACAGGGAAATTTTCAGAAATTGGCTCATTTTTAAAAAATGGTCATCCATAGGATTCATATGCTACAGCCTTTATCAGGCACTGCAGTTTGTAGAAGGTTCATCTGCTAAGAAGTGCCACATTTATTGGTACAATGAAAATACCAGAAATACACGTCACTTGAATATGATAGCATCAACCACCACATGCCATGAAACAAGGAAAAGTACGTGTACACACACACACACACACACAATGTACAGACTAGCCTCTATTCCTCTATGAGGAGGCTATTGCTACACTGTACTAGTACAGCAGGTGTATTATTAACACTTGAATACATTAGACTAGCAGTATTATACTGTAAGGCGGTCATTAGCAGCTGTGAGTCACACTCTATACAATGAATGGCTCATAGTGTTTCCCATTCATATCATAAGGAGCTACTCATTAAGAGACACTGGGTATTGAATGGGGACCATTAGGTATCCCTACCAACTGATAGACCTATTCACTCAATGGAATAGATACAGACTGAGAACAGGAGGGACAAGACTGGAGCAAGACACAGATATACAAACACTCCAACCTTCAGCTACTGCAGTAGAGCCTCTCTTAATGGACACTCTCTATAGCGTACACCTCCATTTAACGGACAGCACCTAGTGTACCAATTACATTCCTTACTGTATAAAATAACCTCCACATAAAGGACACCTCTGTATAACAGAGACACAGTGTCCGTTATAAAGAGGCTAAATCATGTAGTGTTTCTAGTACATTGGGAGGTTTGGCTTTGTGTTAAATGCCAGAGTTTTCCTTTAACAATTAATAGTTGAACTACATGTACATGCAGCCAACGACAAAAGAGATTCTAATGAGAAGTAATTGAGCATAAAGGACTACATGGGGACAATAGAAGAGAAGAAGTAGAGTAAGTGATTGGCATCCACTCTTGATAGTAAATAGTTGGCAAGGAGGCAGTATGAGTACATGTAGATGAGTAATCTTTTGTAATATGGACAATAGGGCAGAGCAACTAGCCAAACAACCACAACTTGGCACTGGACAGTAGACTCACCACACACACAATTACCAGCCTCTTTATAATGGACACTTTGGGGCAAGACAGTGTCTCTGTTATACAGAGGTGTCCTTTATGTGGAGGTTATTTTATACAGTAAGGAATGTAATTGGTACACTAGGTGCTGTCCGTTAAATGGAGGTGTATGCTATAGAGAGTGTCCACTATATTCTTGCCATCCCATACCAGCTGTAGTCAATAATTTAAAAATGGTACGACATTCTACGTAAGAGCAGAACAGGATCTGTCAAACAAATTAATTAATTAATAAAATATTTGAACTATGATCACAAGTTAGACTGCACATGAAACAACACAGTGAAGATTATCTTTCAGTCAGGCAGGATGCAATTATGAAACATTTGGTAACAATTATTCTCAGAAACTTAATCACAAACACACTTGTAGACCAGGATCATACTGTAGGTAGGAGACACTAGAACTACACTGTAGCATAAGGAAGCCTTTATATTGAGGACACCTTTATAATGAGGACACCTTTATAATGAGGACATTTTGTGATACAAAGCTATACAGAAGTACCTCTGAAATGAGGACACCTCTGTATTAAGGACAGGTAGTGTGGGCCATATCTGTCTTTATTGGAAAACAATTAAATTGCAATTCTAAAGATATCAAATCAATCAAGGATTATCGTAGCACCATCAATTAGTACAGTTTATGTGTCCACACACACACAAACTGTACATGAACATGTACGTAGTAAACTGAAGATGTATAATAAAGGAAAACAGATTAATATGAGATAAACACTGTGAGACAGACTGACTGTATCTCCTAATAGAATCAGTACATGTACAGACTAGCCTCTATAATAATGGACACTTTGGGTCAAGAAAGTGTCTCTGTTATACAGAGGTGTCCTTTATGTGGAGGTTATTTTATACAGTAAGGAATGTAATTGGTACACTAGGTGCTGTCTGTTAAATGGAGGTGTGGTGTACGCTATAGAGAGTGTCCATTATAAAGAGGCTATACTGAAATACAGTAGTAGTGGTGTAGTAATGTTGAGTCATTAATATTATTAGATTAGAATAGGAAAATCAACAAAATACTCAGTAATCGTATTAGTTGCATAGTAACTGGTGCATATCAACATTTTGAGATCAGGCCTTTGTGGGTAGACTTGGTACAATTATAATAGTTTCAACAGAGCAACAGCGTCCATTATACAGAGGCTAGTGTATAGTAGTCTAATTAGAAGCTTTATATAGTTGAGTGATGATGTTTGTCATTTAATTACTTGGCAGGGATACAGTACACAATAGGAATAGATCATAATTGATAATAATAATAATATTTATAATAAACTAATGGCGTAGGAGATACTTGTACTATAATTGAATCAAGAGTAGGTATGTGACCCATTATTGTTAGTAAATTGGTTTGTTTGGTAGAATATAATCAACAGGAATCTGATCTTAATTAGACTATACACATGAAATGAGATAATGATAATAATAATAATAATAATAATAATAATAATAATAATAATAATGATAATAATAATAATAATAATACATAGATTATTATTATTATTGATCATGATATCTTACGGTATTGGGATGGAGATGACAACTTCGTTCAACTGGAGGTAGTCGTGAAGGAGCTCATACTCAACATTAACATCACAAGATCCAGCATTCTCCGAGGGCCAACAATTAACTGAAGGGGGAGGGGGAGGGGAGAGAGAGAAACAGGAAAAACTTATACGTCACGTGGTGTGTGTGTATGTGAGGTAAGCAAAACAGAAAGAGCCACATGTACTACACATTACTTCCTTTTAAATTCCCTTTAAATTGACACTTCCTTTCTCTCTCCTCTCTCTCTTCCCCCTCTTTCTCACTTACTAAATAAAGGCAGCAGTGAATCATCTGTTGTCTGCAGTCGCCATTTTAAGACTCCGATATCCTGACCAGTTGGAAAACTCTTTCCTTCTCCTTTCAAAGCGATGAGACTCTTATCTTGAAATAACCTCTTGTCAACATTGGGATGAGTCTAATAAGGTAAATAAATAAATATATAAATAAACAAACAAATATTATATGCATGAATAAAATTAATAAATAAAAAGAACAAAAGATTAAAGTCTCTAGCTAATGTTGAGAGAGGCTATAGTGTACAAGGACAGGTAATCCAATTAGAACATGATCGTTACTCATTTACTCACATGTACATGTACACCTACAGCTGCTCCATTACTATCCTAATACTAATTTAAACATTTAATGGTATTCATTAAAATTGAGCAGGCATAGCTCCAGGCTTAAGAAGTCCCTCCCAGCTTTTAGCTTCAGGAATCAGTTCATTAAAGAAGCACTGGCAGTCCCGCCTCTCCGAGAAGAGGGAAGAGACCTTAGGTCTGTTATTGGAAGGGAGGGTAGATACCACTGAAGAGCAGCTGTTACTAAACATTCCTTAGTATACAAGTGTAGGATTTAATGATATTCATAGTCCTTTATGACAACAACAATCAGACTAGCCATTATCTAATTAGGAGGCCACAAATAATATAAAAATGGATTCCAGTAATGATGTGTATCAGACTAAGAGGATGGACTATCCCACCATAGCTTCCAGGACACTGTACACACACACATCAACACACACTGTTGTATTAACACATGTACAGTGTAGCCTCTTTATTAAGGACACCATTGGGCCCACACTACCTGTCCTTAATACATGTACAGTGTAGCCTCTTTATTAAGGACACCATTGGGCCCACACTACCTGTCCTTAATACATGTACAGTGTAGCCCCTTTATTAAGGACACCATTGGGCCCACACTACCTGTCCTTAATACATGTACAGTGTAGCCTCTTTATCAAGGACACCATTGGGCCCACACTACCTGTCCTTAATACATGTACAGTGTAGCCTCTTTATTAAGGACACCATTGGGCCCACACTACCTGTCCTTAATACATGTACAGTGTAGCCTCTTTATTAAGGACACCATTGGGCCCACACTACCTGTCCTTAATACATGTACAGTGTAGCCTCTTTATTAAGGACACCATTGGGCCCACACTACCTGTCCTTAATACATGTACAGTGTAGCCTCTTTATTAAGGACACCATTGGGCCCACACTACCTGTCCTCAATACAGAGGTGTCCTCATTTCAGAGGTACTTTTGTATAGGCTTGTACCAATTGGTACATTACAAAATGTATAAAAATGGAAAAGGCTACCATTAAAGGATGCATGGAGTAGGGACTGACCCAAGCTGTACAAGAGGAGCGTCCTAGACTATGACCTTAAAATAATACACAGGATGTAAATAGAATAATAACAATATCATTGCATAACAAACACATCATATCAATCAAACAGAGCTCATACAACACAGGCACATAATGGAGGGCTTACAGCTCAATGCTACCTGTAATCTATAATGTACCATGTGCAGCAAAATATTGGAATATATCTCTCTTCTTTTTACACATGATAATAACAGTAGCCTCTATATAATGGACACTTTGAAAGTGTCTCTGTTATACAGAGGTGTCCTTTATGTGGAGGTTATTTTATACAGTAAGGAATGTAATTGGTACACTAGGTGCTGTCCGTTAAATGGAGGTGTACGCTATAGAGAGTGTCCATTAAGAGAGACTATACTGTAGCATGCATTCTAAACGAGGCAATAAATGAAGAAAGAGAGTAACAATAAAGAGATGTGGAGTGAGTGTATGGTCATTGTGTAAACTATAGGTAGACATTAAGAATGAACAGAATCCAGTTGTACATGTAATGCAACAGTACCATTATCAGTTCATCATGTGCAATCACTTTAATGGAGTCATTAAATATGTACTGATAATATTAGAGGTATGTGTCTTTATTCCCTTGGAATTCAAAACAAAATTAGTTAATTGTATTAATAATGACAATAAGAACAGCTGTCTGAAATAGTGGGGGAGAGACAGAGAGGGAAACACTCAATTAATGTATTAGTACATCATGAATTAGTGTGTGTGTGTGTGTGTGTGTGTGTGTGTGTGTGTGTGTGTGTGTGTATGAGCAGAGCTGATGGAGAGTGTCTTTACATTCACTCAAGCAATGAGAGAGTGGAGGCACTGAAGCTCAGTATTATCATGTCATTAAACTACACACAAGTACAAGTACATGTACTGACCAGGACACACACACACACACAATACGTGTACATGTACCTTCAATAAAAAACATTTAAACTGTACTATAAGTACAGGGATTTTTGTCAAAAATGAAAAGATAAAATTTCCCCACTTTTTCAATTTTTCCAGATACATATACATGTTCTTATGCTGCATAGAAAGTTTAAGCTGATTCCAATTAAATTTGAATTATTTATAAATTTTTAAAGTTGCTAAAAACTCAGTTCCATAAAGCTGGTGCGTACTCAGTGAAAGGCCCTGAACTATCAGTAGTAGGAAGAGGAGAGGGTACCTGTAGAGTGACTCCAGTTTAACAATAGGACAGGAGACAGTGTAGGGGTGTGTCTGTAGAGTGGAGAGTGATTTAATTTTAGTAATTTAGTGAGTGACAGTCTCTCATTAAATTATCCATTAAAGTGGGTACTATACCCAGTCACTTGACGGGTTTCATAAGCCCCAAGGGCCAGCCAGGGCCAAGGGTTGTCCTTTTATACACAAGCATATGTACAGTGTAGCCTCTTTATAATGGACACTCTCTATAGCGTACACCTCCATTTAACGGACAGCACTTAGTGTACCAATTACATTCCTTACTGTATAAAATAACCTCCATATAAAGGACACTACCAAAGTGTCCATTATAGCAAAGCTAGTCTGTATACATAAAACACCTTTAAAAATACATAAATATGTTCCCCTGGTTCTTTCCTTGTTATGAATCATTAGGAGTGAAGGATACTAACAAAATGATCTTAGACTAACTGCTTGAGATAAACTAGTCTGGCTTTATGGAACCGTACACACACACACACATTATAAATAAATAATAATACAGAGAGATACATGTACATGTAGAGTGGCTGATAAAGTATCCCTTTGTTGTACTGGCGGATGGTATGATTCCTAGTATTCCAGTCACTCGTTATTATGATTGACTGATTCCTGTTTTGATTATCGTATGAGTCAATATCAGTATATGTGACATTGTTATCAAAACCAATCTAAATTTTGAATTTCTACAAATTAAGGAATACATTGTCAATTATGATGAAGAATACTCCATATAATGGACACTTTGGTAGTGTCTCTGTTATAAAGAGGTGTCCTTTATGTGGAGGTTATTTTATACAGTAAGGAATGTAATTGGTACACTAGGTGCTGTCCGTTAAATGGAGGTGTACGCTATAGAGAGTGTCCATTAAGAGAGGCTGTACTGTAGCAGTAGTACAGATATTATCAGTATATATAATTCAAAATGTGTGGTCCAGCTGGAGTGAAGGAGTATCTGTACGTGTACATGAATAGTGTAGGATGACATTTACTTTAATTGATGAAATAATAACAATAACAATAATAATAATATAATACCAGCATAATTACATGTACATGTACAGGTGTCTTTGATACCAGCTGTTACGAGACATGCTAAAAATGCTAAGAGTGCAATCAACACTATAGCACTAACGTCTAGAAGATTAAATAATCGTCGTCATGCTGTTTCCTTTAATTCTATCTAAAATGTACTATAGATCTCTAAAAAAGGACACCTTTATAATGAGGACATCTTTATACATGTAATGTCCCAATTGGTACAAGTCTATACAAAAGTACCTCTGAAATGAGGACACCTCTGTATTAAGGACAGGTAGTGTGGGCCCAATGGTGTCCTTAATAAAGAGGCTACACTGTACATGTATTAAGGACAGGTAGTGTGGGCCCAATGGTGTCCTTAATAAAGAGGCTACACTGTACATGTATTAAGGACAGGTAGTGTGGGCCCAATGGTGTCCTTAATAAAGAGGCTACACTGTACATGTATTAAGGACAGGTAGTGTGGGCCCAATGGTGTCCTTAATAAAGAGGCTACACTGTACATGTATTAAGGACAGGTAGTGTGGGCCCAATGGTGTCCTTAATAAAGAGGCTACACTGTACATGTATTAAGGACAGGTAGTGTGGGCCCAATGGTGTCCTTAATAAAGAGGCTACACTGTACATGTATTAAGGACAGGTAGTGTGGGCCCAATGGTGTCCTTAATAAAGAGGCTACACTGTACATGTATTAAGGACAGGTAGTGTGGGCCCAATGGTGTCTTTAATAAAGAGGCTACACTGTACATGTATTAGGACAGGTAGTGTCGGTCCAATGGTGTATGTGTTACATTCAAAGGAGCATAACTCGCAGCTCATCCCCCATCATAATGTCTCGTTAACATGTAGAGCTACAATCATGATTATGTAGGAAATTGTTTAAATTGTTAACTTGATGGTATTCCAGTAATTGAACATTACTGCTGATATGTATACAGTATACATCATTAGCTGCTGTCAGTGTGTGTGTAATAACTTCAGCTTTTGATCTACTGGGAGGTTCAGCTCTACTAACTTTAGGCATTTTTCTTTAATTTTTAGTTAATTACGTGTACATGTATGTTAAATATTAATTTAGAATTTAATGGAACCATCAGTCAATACACACTTTAATGTACTGAATACTCAGAAACTAAAATAATACAACAATAACAGTAGTGTAGTAGTAATAATAATAATAGTAATAATAATAATAATAATAATAATAATAAATATACAATTAGTAAAATGTATATTTATCATAAAACAAAAGAGCAGAGAGAGAGAGAGAGAGGTAGGTGGGGGGGGGGAGGGAGAGAGAATTACCTGAAACTGAACCCCTCTCTGCTCCTCATCATGTTTTATTCCGATGTTAATGCGTCCATACTCTCCATCCGATATCTTTAGAGTTATCATACCAAGTATTTCCATATTTTGAAGTCCTCCATCTCTGCCAGCTGCAACAGTGAGTCTCTCACTCACTTTCAGATGAACACTAGAAGAGAGAGAGAGGGGGAGAGGGAATTTTAATTGCCAGTGATAAGAATATAATTCATAATAAATTAGCCGATTCATTAAAGCGGTCTATGTTCGATTGGCATACAGTGATTGCTGTACTGGTGGTCCTCCTTTAGTGGCAGCTGGAGCTGGTTTATGCTTGGCACTAACTATCCCTATTAATAATAAATAAATAATTAATAATTAATAAATAATTAATTATTATCATTGTTATTATTACTTTCTCCTTCAGCGACTAATTTATCCACAAAACTGTCGGCATCTTTTGTTTTCTTTCCCAGCTTCATCCCACCTGCTGACCTACTGAAAGAAAGAGCAATTTAAAAATAAAACATGTACTAATGAACAGAATATAATGGACACTGTGTCTCTGTTATACAGAGGTGTCCTTTATGTGGAGGTTATTTTATACAGTAAGGAATGTAATTGGTACACTAGGTGCTGTCCGTTAAATGGAGGTGTACGCTATAGAGAGTGTCCATTAAGAGAGGCTATACCGTACATGCTAAGAAAGCAAATCAAATTAAAAAGAGAGAGAGAGAGAGAGGGGGAGGGAGAGAGAGAGGGGGAGAGTATGTGTACATGAATTACGTGAGAGAGAAAGAGGGAAATTAGAGGGAGACAAAACCAAAAATATGAAAAGCCGAGGGAGTGTTGCCAAAACTATTATAATTAAATAAAAAATAAAGCCATTAAGAGGAGCAGCTGTTACTAACAAACACACACACACACACACAATAAAGGTTAGGACACACACAAAACATAATTAGCTTAATACAGTGTATACTGTATGGCCTCAGCTACACACAAACACACGGTGTATGATGAGCCACTCATTAATAAACATGTACATGGCTACATGTTCTATTGCAATTTAATGGACTAATGAACTGCCAATATATAATAATTATAGAGGAATTAGGTGAGAATGCAACACATGTGTGGAGGTGTGGGAATAAGTCTAATGACGTTTGAACCATTTGAAGTACAATACAGTAGTACACATGAACAGGACATTAGTACATGTACAATGTGTAAAAGGAGAGGGAGAGAGAGAGAGGGAGAGGGAGAGAGAGAGAGGGAGAGAGAGAGAGAGAGGG